GAATTTTGGGCAGCTGTGAAAAGACTGAAACCGACTTTTGGCCTGAGAGACTGTGGACTTCCTATTGAAGTGTGGAACTCCTTCTACTGAGACATCTACCCTCCTAGGAGCCTAACTTTCGATCTACCCTCACGTACTGACATCTAGGAACTGGACCAGGAGATCTCACTCACCGAGTTGGAAACTGCTATCAAACACCTCAAAAACGCCAAATCTCCGGGTTTGGACGGTATCACCAGTGAAGCCCTCAAGGCACTGACCCCCGAGTGGACATCATGCCTCCTCACGCTCTTTAACAACATCCTCTGCGCAGAAGAAGTCCCACCGAGCTGGGCCGAGGTAGTTCTCTCAATGATTTTTAAGAAAGGAGACAAAGATGACCCTGGGAACTACCGAGGCATTGCCCTTGTCAACACAACCACCAAGCTTTTTACCGAGATCCTAAGGAAGAGGCTAGAGAACTGGACTGAATCAAATGGACTGCTTCCTGAGTCTCAGCACGGTTTCAGGAGAGCCCGAAGCTGCACCGACGCCGTTTTCTGCCTCGCAGCAGTCCACCTACAACTGAGACTCCCAAAAAGAGAAGTGTACGCTGTCTTCGTCGACTTCAAACGTGCTTTTGACAGCATCCCCCACAGCGAATTTTGGAAGAAGTTTCACAACGTCGGAGTCAGCTCCAAAATCATTAACATCTTGGTATCTCTTTACTCCCAGGCGTGCATCCGGGTTCGAAGTCGTGGGCTGTGTTCGGACGTTTTCCAAGTGACTGAGGGTGTGCTCCAAGGAGAGACACTAAGCCCGCTGTTATTCCTTCTATATGTCTCTGACTTCGAAAGTTTCTTCCGCGAGAGGGGTCACTCTGGCTTAAACATAGATGGGCGCACCGACATCTTGATGCAGCTGTTTGCCGACGACACTGTTCTTCTGGCTGATTCACACGTCAAACTACGGGTAATCCTAAGCACGCTCTCTGACTACTGTGTTATGAAGGGGCTATCAGTCAACACCACTAAGACACAAATCCTGGTCTTCAAAGCTGCAGGACGCCCCAAATACATTGATCCTCGGTTTACGATGTACGATGGTACACCTCTCCAAATTGTCTATTCCTACACCTATCTTGGAGTTCTCATCTCAGGCACAGCCAGATCCAACACCCCCACCCAGGCAGCCATAGGCAAAGCAAGAACAGCCTCCATGAGCACCTTAAACCTGCTCTACAAATCCAAGTGCGACAATTGGGACTCCTACACGAGACTCTTTGATAGTATGGTGTCCTCAACGCTCTCTACGCCATTCCTGCCTGGGGCATGGGAAAACTAGATGGGATTGAGGTTATACAAACTGAGTTTTACAAGCGCCTTTTGAGACTACCCCGAAACACTGCTAATTGGTGTGTGAGAATGGAGGCTGGAGCGCCCAGGCTAGCCCTCAAGGCCATGAAAATAATCTGGAATTGGTTTATAAAAGTCTTGCAAATGGACCCACTCCGCCACCCCAGAATCTGCATGGTGCGCCTTTTGGAACTGTCGAGAAACACTACCGAAGTCTCAACCTACAACTGGAGGACATACTTTAGGGATTTCCTGAGGTCTGTCAACGCAGAGGATCTTCTGGACTCCCTGGACACCGCAACGTGGACTTCACGCGCAGGCGTCGTCTTCGTGAATTACGAGTTGCTGTTGCGCCAAGAGGACTTCTCCAGCTATTGCGTCTCTACATCCTCCCAACTACCCCTCCCCAGATCCCTGGGAGACCCCACTGCCCATTATCTTCGGCTCCGCCTGCCCCTAGCCCTGAAGTGTTCCATAGCCCAACTGAGACTCTCCAACAACTATTCCTGCTCTTACTCCTTCAAAAATGGTTCCACAAAAGTTTTTCCTACCCAACTCTGCCCTTACTGTGCATCACTCCATATCTACCAATATGAAACAATCTCCCACATCCTCCTCAACTGCACCCTCTACTCCCCCCTCAGAGATCATTACTTGGCCCAGCATCTGGCACCCATCCCCACCGCTGGCCCGGACGAAGATAGCGTCTGCAAACTTCTCTGTTCCAGTGACCCAAGATGCCTCAGAACCATCTTCTACTACTCAACGCAATGTTTCTCACTCCGCGACAAAACTGTCTACGAATAATTTTGCTTGACTAATTCTGCTTTCTTGGTTTCAGTTTGGCGATGTTACTTGGGTCCCTCTTAAGGTTAAGTCTCAGACCTTCGGCCTCGGTTATGGGAGCTTCGTACAAATGTTCACATATTCTTTTGACCAAATGCTCTGTTGTTTATATGCTTTTAACTATTTGATTCTAATTGTGACAAACCATGTATTATTGGAGGGCCTCGAACACTTAATCTCAGCCCTATGCACACTATCTAAGTATGATTCTGTCTCGGAATGCCGCCACCTATTTTATATTTGTTACCACTATGTTTATTTAACTTTTGTAATCATGATTATGATGTGTCTTACATGCCTGTATGGTAAATCGCATGCTTTTGTAAGCCTTGATGTAAACTTCCCATGCTATTGGAGCGACGTCGGACTCCAGCGAAGCATTAACAATAAATAAATAAATAAAAATAAAATAAATTATCCCATGTCGAAAACCAAATTTTGTTCATTTTTTAACCATTTTTTCTGCTAACCTGCGGTGAGCTAGCACCGACGCCGTTTTTTTAAAAACTGGGTTAGCAAAACGTTTTGAAAACGTCGAAAATTAGGTCTTAATTAGCTTTAAATTATCCGATGTCGAAAATTAAATTCTATTGATTTTTAAAATAATTTTTCTGGTAACTTACAAAAAAGCTAGCAGAAACACTTTTTTTTTTAAAACGGTATTAGCAGAACAATTTTTGGATGCATATAAAATTAGCTCATAACAAGCCGCAACGCTATTGTTTTCCGAACGGCATAAAGATGAAAACTTTTGAAATTATAACAAATTATCTGGTAATGATTTTTCGATTATCCAATGTCAAAACTGATTTTTTTGCCACTTTTATAAATGAGATTTAGTTCATTTCTACACTTCGGTTAAAAGTATGTAAATGCGTTGTTTTGTGAAAAAAAAAGAAAATTCAAAATTCAAAACATAAAAATGTAATCTCAGACCCCTCCCCTTCACCCCCCTAAATTTTCATCCCTCCGGATACATGCGTTTATTTTCCACAAATAAACAAACCGAGCGGGTGAATAAATTAATTTATTTATTGAATTAATTAATTTTTTAGTTCGAAAATCAATGCATAAAAAAGATAATTGTATAGAAAATAGATTTCAATCGTTTTTTTTTAACATAATTCAAAATATTATTTTAAAAAAAGGGCCCCTGCACTCAGTGCGCCTAGAGTACAGTCCGCGCGAAAAGTCGCGCCTATCTTTCGCCAGAATCATTCGCCAATTTCAGCGTCATAATTTTAGCTTGAGCAATATTAGAAACACCCTTCTGGATAACGCTTATCAGAGCCTCTTTTGTCTGAGGATTGTCCACGTAACAGAAGTCTTTGAGATAACCCCACAAGAAGAAATCACACGGGCTAAAATCCGGTGAGTACGGTGGCCATTCCAATCCTGGTCGGGCGAAGCGAGGATACCCTAAGCCGATGACGCGATAACCGTATACTTTGTGCAATGCAGCAAACACATCATTAGTTCGATGAGGTATTGCACCCTGTTGCATAAAATAGAAATCTTTTACCAATCGTTTCTTCTTAGCAAATGAGAAAAATTTGGTTTCCAACATCTCTCTGTAACTCCCCTGTAATGGTCCCTTCCAACATTTCCACATGTATTTGTTTGATCGACCGAGCTGCCCAAACTCTAACTTGAGTAGGGTGGAGCGGTTTTGCTTCTGATGAATGTGGGTTTTCACTCCCCCAAAATCGATAATTTTGTTTATTCACGTAGCCGTTAAGGTAGAAATCAGCTTCATCCGTGAAAATGATTCAATTGGCTTCGATTTCAGCATTTTCAAATATGTGCGTCAAAACTTTGCTGAATTCAAGTCGTTTCCCTATAGCAGCTTGCGGAAGCAATTGGTGGGAAGTGATTTTATAAGGATGAAGTTTAAGGAAATGTTTAATTATCAAACGTACGGTCTCTCGGTTCAATTCTAACTTCGCAGCCGCCTTACGTATTGAATCAGTTGGATGATGTTTTTCCACCTTGTCCACTACTTCCGTCGTTCTTGTAGCGACGATTCTGTAGGGTACCATAGTTGACAGAATTATCAATGACCCTACAAAAAAGAACACCTTGACTCAAAAAAATTTTTGGGGACTAATCTCAAAAGAAAAATCATACAGGAGAACTAAAAAATTCATACCGTTTGAGAGTGGTTTCCCTCCCAATTCTGTGACTACCAAACTTATTACAAAAGCCTCTATACGCATTTGTGTATTTTTTTCCTCGGGAATAATGGCACTCAATGAGATACACTTTTTCTTCGACAATAATCACATTCATTTTAGAGAATATGAACTAGACCCCGGAGTGTCCCAACAGAATTTACCAGGCTCCAAGTTTTAACTTACAGCAGCCCGATTCCTGGTGACAAAGTTTTCACCTATTCCCATTTTTCACCGTGTACATACATACATACATACATACATACCTACATACATACACACATTTTTTAAAAACATCATTTCTTCATGTTTCATAACATTTCTAGGTATTCCCACGCAAAAGTAGTAAATCGAAAAAAATCCCAATTACATAGCTTAGACTCTGAATCAAAAATGAAAAAGAAAACATGAAAAAATCATATCTCTCATATGAGCTCTAAAAAACTGGAAAAATCAGGAAAAAACTTTTTCAAATCTTCACTCCCTGAAAATTCCCCTTCACATTCAAGAAAGTGAGCATTAGGGGCTGACTGGTTTGACATGAAATACCTCCAATGCTAAGAATCATAAAACTAGACTACATAATTTTGTATTCCATGCATATTATGGGAGATCGACTCATTTTGTGATAACCAATTATTCATAATAGGATGGAACTTGAAAGTCAGCCATTAGTTGAAACAGCAGCGAATGTGTTCCGTGAAATGTGTTACAACTATCGTGACTCTCTTGTTGCTGGAATATTAGTTGCTGGCTGGGATTCACAGAAGGACGGCCAAGTTTACAGTATTCCAATCGGTGGTATGTGTGTACGCCAACCAATTTCCATCGGAGGATCTGGGTCCTCCTATATCTATGGATACGTCGACGCAAACTATAAGCCCAATATGTCTAAAGAAGAGTGTATTAAACTCGTCACTAATAGTAAGTCCTTTTAAATTGATTATCACGCTAATGGTATTAAGGAAGATCAGTAAAAATAGCTGAAAGTTTGCGACATACCAGCATAAACAAACAAAAATCGAAATTAACCGGAAATCGAAGAAAAAAATTGAATTATAAATTGGCTTTATTCACGAGTTTGTTGGTACGCGTATTTTAAGTGGAAAAAATGAATATCAACAAACTCGGGGAAGCCAAAGCGATACTTCCGTCACTCATATCTATTCTCATAATAGTTTCTGGAACTTTCATGGCATTCCTCTATTGAGAAATGATTTTTTTAGCTACGCATTTAGTTTTTTTAATTTTTAACAAAATGTGATTGATGGCCTAATTTCCTCTTTTGTTTGTGTTCATGAAAATGAACATGGAAAATGCACGGTGACAGCACGGTGATATTCATGTCTATCCCAAAGTTACTAAATTGATGTCAGGTTATGCCAGCACTTGGCCGCTGGGCCAATTTCTTCTATGCTTTAACATTGTAGGCCCAGCGGCAAAAATTATACGCTTGCTTCATCTGTTGAATTTAGTAACCTTGGTATGTTCCCAAAGTGCGCGTGCTAACATTGTGCTGTCATAATGGCCTCAGGGCCAGTTTGTTTAACCTCCGGTAGCTTTAATAGTTATTTTCATCACAAGGTCCACAAAGTATTTTCTGACGAATGTGGCTTTGTAGGCCGAGCCGAAGGCGAGGCCTATAATCACATTCGTCAGAAAATACTTTTGGACCGTGTGATGAATGCAATTTTTCGTCAGAAGGCCCGTAAACCGCGATCAAACCGAGCGAAGCGAGGTTAGAATCGCGGTTTACCGGGTCTTCTCACGAAAAGTAACTTTAACAATTGACAACTATCTTTTAACTGTGATACCGTCAAGAAGCAATGGCGATGCTGCGCCCATTACAGGCCGGGACTCAGACAGGGTTGGCGCACGAAAATTTAAAGACCCTTTTAAGTCGACACTCCTTTAGCTAATGAAGCTTTACGCTAATAGTCCAGGCGTCAGAGGCTGAAACTGACCAGATTGACCGAATAATTCCTAGAGGAAATTTTTTTTCTATCTTTATTTTATGTTTATAAAGTAAATATTAAAAATGCGCACAAAAATTCAAAGCGGAACATTTGTTTAAACAAGTGAAAAGATAAATTTTTGCGTTTTTTGCGAATATCGCCAGCAATATCGCTTTTACGATAAAAAAAACCTAAAATTATTCCCCATTAAATTACCAACAAAAAAGGTTTTGACATATTTTTTGATTGGGATGGTAGTTTTGAAGATATGATCGTACGGAGGAGAGCGCCACCATCCAAATCTCACGCTGTGCTGTAACAGACACCGGACTACATGTGATGCCATTTTTAACATTGGAATTTTTTTTAAATTTCAGCACGAAACTTAACAAGTTTATACAGCTTATCGATATAGGATTGAAAAAAATAGAAAAGAAGAATTATAATAACAGAGAAGAATATGTAACCTAAGACGAGGTAGTTTATATAAATTTGTGTATAGATGTGTACATTGGTGACTTAGTTAGGTCTTATATTTTTAAATTGCTTTCGTTCAGAAACTTCGTGATGATGTCTATGCATATGAGATCTAGGTCTTTCAGGATATTTTGGCTAAAGTATGGAGGGAGGAAATTTTTCCTTTGTAATGCGTTGAGCATATTTTGTCTCGTCTGATCATGTCGGGAGCAGTCCCATAGCACATGGTCGAGGTCTTCATTCGGGTGGCCACATTTGCATTGGGATGATTGAATAAAGTTTTTCCTCTTCAGAGAGGCTGCGAGATGATAATGATTGGCTCTAGCTCTATTTATCCAAACAATTGAGAAGCGGGAAAGTTTTTTGTTGTGAAATCAGGGTTTCCTTTTTTTTGTGATAGTTCCTGAAATATTCTTTCCCTTTGCCTCTTGGGTTATCATCTGCACTCTTCTCCATACAAATTTCAAGTGTCGAATCTAATCATTCTCTCTTAAAATTTTCGCGGAAGTCTGTGAATGAGATTCGAAACTCTATGTTGGGAGGTGATTTGGTGGCCTCGCCAGCCAAAAAATCCGCTTGTTCATTGCCCGCAATTCCAGTGGAGGTAACCCATTGAAATTTAACAAAATTTTGACCATTATTTTGTTGGATAAACATCTCGCCGTTTTTTGGCTTCTAATATTAATTTGTTGTCTCTAATACTCAGTATTGGCCGAGACAGACATGTGAAACATTGGAAAAATGATGCTTTTTCGATTATAATGCAGTCAGAGACCTTTGCATGTAATAGAAATTACAATAATGATGAGGAAGCCAGTTAATACGAAAAATTCGCATGGTATAAGTTTAAGAATATCTCGTATGGAGGGACTGGCAGATGTACGATTTTTCTACCTGCGGCCCCCATGAGTACCTTTCAAGTCCAGAAAATCATTGAAAAAAAATCATTGAATAAAAAATGAATTGATGTAGCATTATCCTGAATAAATGATTATTATACTTGATTTAATATCATAAGTGATTACTGCACTTGATTTTATTTTTCAAATTTGTTTCCTTGAAACATTCATAATAACTATTGGAATTATGTTGACTTTAATGCATATTATGAGATGCCAAGATCTCTTCATTATTTTATGGGAAAATTCCTGATTTGTTCATTTTTGGATCAGGAATAAGATAAATTTGTGAACTATGAGACAGAATTCTTTGTTGTTATTGAATTATTTTAAATTACTGATCAATTCAATTATTCGACAAAATTTCTAGGAAAGAACGAAAGAATTCCACCTGACGCGGTCGGGGTCTGTCGACTGTCAGGGCTCATGAATAAAAATGACGAATAAATATTGGTGAAAATTGTTGAGCGCCAGTCAATTTTATCGACAAATTGACAAACGATAATAAGAATAATTTATAAGAGGAAATAGAGGAGGTTCGATTGGGACACCCAAATGAAAGAATCAAGAGAGAATTAACCAAAGAAAATATAATTTCGACAGAAAATTTGCATTACTTACAGTTGCACTTCTGTTGATTAATTGGTGAAGACAAGAGTATATAATTCGACAACAGTATTATAGTGAACAATAGACACAAAATATATAAATGATCGCCGTGTGATATTTAGACTCGATACAACACAAGATAAATTTTTAAGTCGAGTGTCTCCGCGTGTGACTTGTTGCTTCGGGCCCGTTATCCCCTCCACAACTGCTCTGAAAATCAATATTTCGGCGTCTGCGTGCCTCAGCTCCTCGTCTATCGCGCAACGACACCAGGCGTGTAATCTAGTTTAAATTANGAAAATCAATATTTCGGCGTCTGCGTGCCTCAGCTCCTCGTCTATCGCGCAACGACACCAGGCGCGTAATCTAGTTTAAATTAAACTCTCATTTGTTTCGACCATTTTCGACATTTACTGAGCGTGAGGACCGGGTAAAATATTTCCGTTCACAACTATATGATTTTTTAATGGAGAAATATTGCTTGGAGATAATTTTAATATTATTCAATTCCAACCGATCGATGCATTCGCCTATGCTAGCATTACGCGAGAGTGGGAGGGTGGCGCGCTCCTCCGCACGAACATATGTTCAAAACTATCATCGAAATGAAAAAATATGTAAGAACCTTGTTTGAGATTAAAGCTAAATTGAGATGCCGGTTGGGGAAAAGTGGAATTGTGGAAGGAGGTGGAAAATTAAAACACGCGGAATTATAAAACCCCACTGTTGATGTACTTTATTGTGGAATACCCCACGCGTCTTGAGAAATTAATAATGTTACACTGTTGATTTGCTCGACAAAGTCAATTAAATGATGATTTGTAAATGCACTGCACTTGAGATTCTCTCGATATTGAACTTGATGATTGACTCAAAATAATTGATAATTAACTATGTGTTATATCCAGAAAAAATTTCATCTCCTTCTTCTCATAAATATTTTCTAAGAACTTAAATCTAAATTCTTCCTCGTTAAGAGTCCAATGAACTATACGCGTCGAATAATGTAAAAAACATGCATGACATCTCACAATCTCTTTTCGAAAATACCCATGTCAAAACGAACAATCAGCATTATTGCAACCTTATGGCCTCTTAGTAACAACGAAATAGCCGAGTAGAGTCCATAAAAAGGAAAACAAAAGAACAGCGGTCACCGACCTGCCGCGCAATTGATGGAGTTGCAATTTTCATGCAAACCCCACTCTTCAAAATTTACGAAAAATCACGACCGAACTATCCCCAAAAATTTTGGAAGAAGACTCCGTTCCACTCGTATCTGTCGTTCTCCACTCTCCAGAACAATTAATTATCTTCAATCCGCGAAATCGGTCTGTCAGTTTTCACTCTATAAGAAAAATAGGTTTTTTTCTTTTTCGGCGACCTTACGCAAAGAGGTGATATAGTGAAAATTTGACTGGGCAAAGTGTAGCCTCAAATCGAGATTAGTACTTTGTGGAATTTTGTGGAACGCACTCAAAAATTGAAACGAAAGTTAAATTAAAAGAGAACATTTTATTACAAGTTGAAATGGTGGAAGAAGAAAACTATAGAGATTCGTAGAACCCGGATAATTATAGGTGTTACAGCAGCTGCTTGGCAAGCTGATTTAAGGGTTGAGTTGTCAACAAAGTAGTAAGTCGAAAAATCCACACCAATTTGATTATATTATCAAAATTTAAATCAGCTCAGAAGTTTTCCAGAATCGAATATTTTGAATCAATAATTTTTCCCATAAATAATCTCATAAAAATTAGTTGAAGTTGAAGTACTATTATCGGGAATAAAATCTGTAATTTTGATGTATAATTAAAAATCTCATCCGTAATATATTAAATTTGGGTCTTTGGTAAAATCAGATGTTTTATGGTTTTTGGCAATAATTCTTTCTGTACCAAAATTCCTTTATCCTGAAAATCCCTTCAGTAAATTCCATTAACTTTCAAATTGATGAATTCTCAGAATCTAAGCAAAATAGTCAAAA